CTCCGTGAGGGAGGTGGATAGAACTAGGAACTTGAGTAGAGAAAGGCGAATTTAGAATAGCTATTGTGGAGAATGTGATAGAGAGGCTCAGTGAGACATTTATAGAGATAGGAGATCACCATATAACAGTGAAAACCTACTTAAGGGTGGATGGTAGTGGACATTTATAGTGAACCCCATCATTTGTGCGCACAGGTCCAGATTTATTCCTTCCAATGCAAGTTTGCCAGAGACTCTACAATAAATATTGGCGTTAGCACCTGACCTAAACTTTCTGCTGCCAATCTGGTCGTATCACATAGGTACTAGTGGTGAGGCCATTAAAATCCCTGTAGCGACAGTGGTCCATGATCTCAAGGGCTTTGCCTCTTCCTAAAAGAACAGTTCATCATCACTTTTCCGAACCTCAGCTTCTCTTTCAGGCTAAAGTAAATTATTTCTAAGGACCTTTCTTGTTCTAAAATTCAAAGGTCTTCTATAAAGTTCTTAGACATGTAATCTGAATGTTTTGTAGCATCACTGCAATGGTGAAAGGGACCATTTCTTAACGGTCCTTCTTTATGTTGATAGGTCCATAAGCTTAGAATATCACATGACTTCAGTTGTTCCCTATTTCAACCCTTCAGTTTAGAGAGAAGGAATGTCAGGCAAAGAGAAGTAAGGTGACTTACCTGAAATCATGCAGATAGAAAGTAGGAGAGTCAGGATTTGAACTCGCATCTTTTGACTCAACATCTAGCACCTGAAATGGAAACTGTATATTATTGGCAAAGAGAAAGCTATACCCTGAAATAGTTCTCACTTAGCATTTGCACATTGCCTTTTGGTGAAAATTTCTTTGTAACTTAAGAACATTTCTGTGGGATGTTAGAAAAAAAATTGTATATGACCCCACACCTCAAGAAAACAACTTTGCTTAATTACTTTCAACTAAAAGAATTTGAGATCCCCTCCCCCAATCTCTGTGATATATAACACAGAAAACTTGATAGGTATTTTTATCGTAATTTTTCAGGAAAGGAAATGATGCTATGAGAGCATAGCATCGCAGATTTAGAGCTGGAAGGAACATTATAGGTCATTAAGTCCAATTTCCTCATTTTATAGATGAGGAATCTGATGCAAGAATGATTAAATGATTTGCCCATTGTTACACAGCCAGTGAAGATCATAGACAGAATTCTAGGTCTTTCTGACTCCAAGTCCAGGACCCTCTCCACTACACCATGCGGCTTCTATTAAGTGATTTGCCTGAGGGTAGGAATTCAGTTTAAAATACTTGTTGTTCTTTCTTTGGAATGGGTTATCCAGAAGAGAGAATAAGATTTGAACTGTTTGGGGGCTGAGTTGATCACTAGCACCCCTTAAGAGGCCTGTGTTTGCTGGCCAAAAGAGATCATTTCCACTGAAACTACATCTAGCTAAAGATCTGTGAATTCTTCCTCTCATAGTTTGTTTGACACCAGCACTGCTTGTTGGAAGAAAAAGCACCAGTTTGTTGATGATGTCTTTCATTGAGGCTTCAATTTGCCATGGGCTCTGACAAAAATAATCATCCTTCACTAGTCCTGAGTAATCAGTACTTCAACATCTAATCAGTGATTAACAGCTGATGATATGAAGTAATAGAACTATCTTCCATTCCCATTTGCTCCACGCCCACACTCCATGTTGTGGGTAAATATATGACAAATAAAAATACTACCTTATCAAATCACCACCCAGCTTATCTTCTTAGATAACATTGACTCCTGTCTCATTCTCCCAAACTGTTTGCAAGACGCTTCTGGAATATTCAACCTGGTTTTATCCAGAGCTTCTTCACTCTGGCTCTGGGCCCAGGCCTTGAGACATAAAGTGAGATATGGCAGGAAGAGCCACTGAAAATTCAGGAATGAAAAACTGGGAAGGGGCCACTTCTCGGGTCTTGCCCTACCTTTCTTCTGTCTTCACCTCAGCACCTTTCGAATTACCTGGATGTTGTTCCCTACTCAGCATTAGCTAGACTTCTGCTAGTGAAGCCCTTTTCCAGTGTCACATTCTAGTGTAAAAGTGATCTTAATTTCTCAAGGACGACACCAGCAGAATGCAAGCTCTGACAGGCCTTGGAAAGGCTTCTGAAGTGGACTCAGAAACAGGCTTTATGGTCTTTCGTTTGAGAACCAGCTTAGCTAAGTTATGAGAATTCCTACCACTCTATGAGGATCATAGTAACTCATTAAACCATCTACTAATGTGTCAAGGGGTTGTGATCCAGGTCATGGAGGAAGAATTGACCCAGACAGTCAAAATCTCAGATGCTAGAGATTTTGAAGCATGCGTGCTTGAGATATTATGAATTTGCAAACTTACATACACACACACACTCACACACAAATATGTATGTACATATACTATATTGCCATCTTAAATACACCCATGTGTATTTGTGTGTGTGTGTGTGTGTGTGTGTGTGCGCGTGTGTGTGTTTAGAATAGAAATAGGGACTCATGATTTGTTGATAATGAGTGCTGAATAAACTCTTAACAATGTAGAGTGGAACCTCTTCAGCTGATAGCCTTAGAGACTGGCCAAGAGCCTTCTGGCATTACATGGCCTCTGGGTGTAAGAGGTGAGACTCGAACCTACATCTCCCTGACTTGGAGGCCAACTTTCTGTCCACCATGCTGTTTTATTGTTACTGTTGCATCATTTCCGTCGTGTCCAACTCTGTGACTCCAATTGGGGTTTTCTTGGCAGAGACACTGGACTGGTTCGCCATATTCTTCTCCAGCTCATTTTACACGAGGAAGCTGAGGCAAACAGGGTTAAGTGACTTGTCCAGGGTTACACAGCTAAAAAGTGTCTGAGGCCAGATTTGAACTCAGGAAGATGAAGGCTTCTGACTCCAGGCCTGTCACTCTGTCCTGTGTACCACCTAGCTGCCCATGCCATGCTGCCTCTCATATGAGTATATACACATATAATATGTATATATATGCACATATGTATAATATATATACATTATATATCATTTGGGTTTCAGACTTCATGGGTGTGGGAACTCCGGGAGTGGAAATTCCTTCTACTTATGCACATTATGAACTCATCTATTAAGTTACAGTTCTAAAGAGCTGCCTAGAGTACTGGACAGCTGGGTGGTGCAATGGATAGAGCACCCGGCCTAAAATCAGGAGGACCTGAGCTTAAGTCTGATCTTAGACACTTATTAGCTGTGTGGTCTTGGGCAAGTCACTTAACACTTTTTACCTCATTTTCCTCATCTGTAAAATGAGCTGGAGAAGGAAATGACAGACCACTCCAGTACCTTTGCCAAGAAAAACCCAAACGGGGTCACAAAGAGTGAAACAGGAATGAATCTACTGAACAACAATAAAATAGCACCGGGGTTGTTGTGAGGATCAAATGAGATAATATTTGTAAAGCACTCAACACAGTGCCTGGCACGTGGTAGGCACTTAATTTTGCTTCTTTCCTTCCTTCCATTCTTCCCAACTCCAACTGTATGTTTGAAACTTGGGAATTATGCTTAACTTTTCCCTCTCCCTCATATCCAGTCCATTATGAAATCCTGTTTCTTCTACTTTCAGCATCTCACAGCCATGTGTCCTCTTTGTCCCCGCTGCCACCACTAGCACAGGCCACTGTGTCCACCTACCTGGGCGATGGTCTCTTCTCAAGTCTTCTGGTCCTCCATGTTCTCCATCTTTCACCCAGCTGCCAAACTAATTCATCTTCCTTCTATGTCAAGCTGCTTGTGGTCTTCTACACTTAAAACCTTTCAGTGGCCACCGTTGCCTATGAAGTTTAGACTCTGTCATTCAAGGCTTTCTCCAAATGAATGCCACCTTTGTTCAACTGATTCCCCTCTATCTTGCAGCAAAACTGGACTGCTTTGCTCTCACTGGTCCCTGTGCTTAGAATATCTTCCCCTCTGGCCTCCATTGGTTAGGTTCCTACCCATCTTTTCAAATGCTAACCAACCCCTCCAGGAAGCCTTCCCAAACCCCTCTATTTAGCAAAGACTTTTCCTTTCTTTGACTCCACTTAACACTGTTGTTTTCTTTCAATCCTGTCCTACTCTTCATGACTCCATTTGGCGTTGTCTTGGAAGAGATACTGGAGTGGTTTGCCATTCCTTCTCCAGCCCATTTTACAGATGAGGAACCGAGTCAAACAGGGTTCAATGACTTGGCCAGGGTCACACAGCTAGTAAGTGAGGTGGGATTTGAGCTCAGGAGTCTTCCTGACTTTATGCCCAGTACTCTATCCACTGTGACATCTAGATGTCCTAACACTTTGTTTATATTTCACTTAATCATGTGTATGACCTACAAGAATGAATTGGTCAGGCTTCCAGACCCTATTTGCTTGCTGTGTGTTATTTTATATTATAACTATTTGTGTATAATATGCCCTGTCCTATCCCCCTACTGGACTATAAGCACCATGAGGGCAGGGACTGTAGTTTTTCTAATTTTTTTTTTGTATCTACCTCAGTTCTCAGTGTAGGTCATTGCACAGGTAGGTACTTAATACGTTAGTCAATCAAGAAGCCTTTATTAAGTGCCTACTATGTAGCAGGCACTGTGCTAAGTGCTGGGGATATTAAGAAAGGCAAAAGATGGTCCCTGCCCTTGAGGAGTTCCCAACCTAACAGATTAGGTTAATGGATGTATATTCCTTGTTCATACTACTGAAATGTAATTTCCTTGAGGGAACTCCAGAGCTCATAGCTTGATTCACCACTCTGTATTTATTAAGTGCTCAGTGAATGTTTGTTGAACAAATGGATGGATGATGATGGTGATGATAGTGATGATGATGATCATGGTGATGATCATGATCATAATGATCATTCAGTCATTTGCAATGCTTGCATTACAGAGTATCCCATCCACCGCAGATTGTTCTGCCGATTCAGAACTGGGAGGCTGAAGAGGAGCCCCACAAAGAAGAAGAAGTTGGACCATTAGTGCAACATATTTATGAGGTAACTTAAACATTCATTTTGCCCTAGTGATGTTGCCTTAAATTCTCTTGTTTAAATAAAAAAACTCACCTCTGATGGAAGCTTAAAATGTCCCCAGTCCAAATCGTGGGCTTTGTACTCATCCTGGATTAGTGCATTCAAAATATTCTGTTGCTAGGTGGTGCAGTGGAAAGAGCACTGGGTTTGCAATCAAGAAGACTCCTCTTCCTGAGTTCAAATTTGGCCTTACACTTACTAGCTGTGTGACCCTGGCCAACTCACTTCACCCTTTTTGCCTCAGTTTCCTCATCTGTAAAATGAGCTAGAGAAGGAAATGGCAAACCACTCTGGGATCTTTGCCAAGAAAATCCCAAATAAGGTCACCAAGAGTCTGACACAACTGAAAATGACTGAACAAGAAGAAGTCCTTAGTGTGGTTTTAAGTCCTATAGATTAAAATCGTCATAGATCAGACTTACCTGCTCGCCTGTAGTAAAGGCTGTCCACGCAGCAGGCAAACTTTTTTATAGTCCTTCCCTTTTTTGTGCTGAGCCTGGGAAATATAATAAGATGACTGGACTCTGGTTCATATTCCCTGGCACTGAGGCATTTTTTTCACATCTCTTCAAGACCTCAGTCTGGCTATGAGCAGACAAGTGTCCTCAAAATGTTTGCAAACTATTCATAATTTGATTGAAACCATGCATCTATGAAGGTTGAATTTGCCAACTGACAAAAGCTTTAGAGAACCAAGTTCAATATGGTCATTTTAAAGGAAAGGAAATTGCATTGGTCTTCATCTCCCATGCCTGGAATGCCTTCCTTCCTTACCTCTACCTCCTAAGAGTCCCTCTCTTCCTTCAAGACACAGCTAAAGGGCCACTTTCTACATAATCTTTGCTCATCTCTCCAGCTACGAGGGTCATCCTTCCCAAATTATCTTAGTACCTACAGTTGTTGTGAAGATCATAATTGTAAAGCACTTAACACAGTGCCTAGCATATAGTAAGTGCTATGTAAATGTTAATATTATCATTAGCTATTATAATCGAGTGGCAGTCTGTATTGATAGAAAGAGATCCCACACTGGGAGTTCCCCATACTAAAGAAATCCTAGCTGTTTTACGTATTCAAGTAAAATCAAGCAGCACAGCTTAATAATGAGGCTGCCATCATGATGGGAATTTGTGCTTCAGGTGAGGATAGAATAGACAACTTCTGAAATCACATCTCTGAGATCTTGTGATTTTATTATCTATTCTTATGCCATTAAAAATTAAGAAAAAAATCTCATTTCAGATTCGAAGCTTTTTAACGTAGAAACACTTAAAATTAAATGACTTCTTTATTGAAATTGAGAATGCCAAAACTGAAACAAGATGATGATTTTATTTATCAATTTTTATTATGTTAAACCATAACCCTGGAAAGGAGTAGCTATTGCCATTTATTGGAAGGTTTTGAGACTTTTCTTCTTGGAAAAGCTATTAAGAACTAAGGTTCTTTGATACCTTCACAATGGATTCCTCTTGTCCCTTTCCCCTAGAACTTATAACCACTTATATTTTCCATTACTCCCAAATGAAGTTCTCATCTTCAACCTTTAAGAGGGCACTTGAAGGTAACATTGACCAGATTTAACAATAAAGCCTTTTAAAAACGCATTGACTGTTTATCCCACTGAGAAAGAACAAATCCAACTCTGCCCAGTGTCAGAGGGAAGAGTTTTGCATGTGCCAAACCACATGGTTTAAAATCATATAGTAGCTCTGTGACCCTGGGCAAGTCACTTAACCTCGATTCCCTGGCAAAAAAAAAAAAAAAAAATCATATGACTCTGTCCAATCATGGATCAAAGGATCATGGATCAAGCTCTTCTCCTGATAAAAGGCCATTGGGACTAAGGTACTCTGTGAGAAAAGGATTATAAGATAAATTATGAAAATATCTCCACACTGCTTTCGGCCTTGGGGAGTACCTGAAATAAAGTCTGCCCCCATGCCCTACTGAAATCATCACAAGAATCCAGCTTCTGAATGACGTGACCAGTCTGGGTATAACAAGAATTCCATTGTTTTGACTACATCAAGATCATCAGATGTTCCATGCCCATTTAATTGCTCAGGATATATTTTTTTAAAACACCATATCCATGAATATCATGAAGTTTTAATCGTGTGCATTAAATAGGTTACTTAATAAGTAGAAAGCAGGAATGTATTTTGGAGTTGACCAGGGATGTTTAAGATCTATTGGGGGAAAAAAAGATGAAAGTTTCCTGTTAATGTTCAATGATTAAAAGAAAAAAACTAAGTGAGTTCAAGTGTAGCAAACATTCTTTGTGAGCTCTTTTGCAGCCACTGAATGGAGAGGCTTCATATTTTCAAAATGCATATCTCTTTCTGAGATGTGGGTTTTTTCCTAGATATTTACTGATTAAAACAAAGGGAGTCCAGCTTTGGAACAAGCCCTTTAAGTGAATTGTAGTGAGGCCAGACTATCTTCAGCATTTGATAGATGACCATTCTTCCAGGGGGTGAAAGAGAGTATGTCACATATGGTTGCAATTCACAAGTCGGTAGGCAGGAAAGAGTAGACAGCTCTAACGAGGGAAAGCAACAACTGAGTTTAAAAATGATACGGTTAATGTCCCAAACCTATCTCTAAAATTAAAGTAATAAAAACAATCAAGGTAAACACCATAATTTTAGGACATGGCTAAGCCCTGTGGACAGTGTTGAGAAAATCCATGCATGGAGTTTCACTGATTTAAACAAGCTCTTATAATAGTCATCAGGTCACACTATCTATGGTACTTGGCCCCATCTAAACTGTTTACATGAGGTTTTTTTTTTTTCTGTAGTCATATTCCAGCTGATTTTAAAAGAATGATATATACATTAAATCATGATAGTCATTGTAAGCATTTCTTTGGCAGCTGCACAACATCGGACCCAGTACTATCAGTGAAACGCTTCTGACTGTGGGATGGCCAAATTCCGCAAAAGAGGAGTCTCTTCTGTATATTTTCCACATTCAGACCCTTGGGCCATTGCAGTGTCAAACAAATCCTGCTATCAACTCACTGGGAATAAAGGTAGGAACCTATTCCTATATTAATGATTTCATTATAAGAAAGAATAAATTCTGGCAAGATGGTATGGTATAATGGTTAGATCTTAGAGATAAAAAAAATTGGAACAAATTGTGGGAAGTCAAAAGCTTCTTCCCAAAAAGACAGCTCTCAAGAACTTGCCTACTTAGGTTGTAGACTGGTTTTGGTCTGTGTCAGTGGAAGGACTTCCAACCCACTGATTGACAGATCATCCTTCATATTCATATATGTAAAAAGCCAAGTGATGAAAAGAAGCTGACTGGTTTCAATGATAGCAAATTCATTGTTGTTACCAAAAAAAAATGACTAAATTCTTTAATACTATCAGGCCAAAGCAAACAGGATTCTCTGGCCTTTTCTCATGCTTTGGGTAGAGTTTGGACATCTCATCCTCTGAGGTTCCTTCCACAACTTAAGATTCTATTATTCTTTAATTCTCCTGATATATTTTCTAGACTACTAAAATATATCACTTTTATCTGGCTGTATGTAATGCCAAGTTGTCTGTATACGCGCAAGCCAAAATAAGACACATCCAAATGTGTCGTCAGGAGGAATCGGCGTGGAATGCTAGTTGTGAAATGTATTTGACAAAGTTCTTAGCTCATTACTTGGAGCGGGGAATGACGGGCCCTTACCACCGGCTCCAAGTGCTACTGGTGACATAAGGTAATCCCCCCAAAGGCTGTCTCCATGTCATACAAGCCAAAGGATTAGTGTTTCCAGGTCTCCACCCCACTGACAGCCTTATGGGGAAGCCACAAGAGGAAGTGTTTGTAGTGAAAGGAGCACCAGATTTGAACACAGAAAACACCAGAGTTTGAATCTTGCCTTATTAGCTGGCTCTGAGTCTCAGTTTCCTTAGGAATAATCCTACCGGTTGGACCAATCTCACAGGGTTGCTGGGTGGAAGACACTCTGTGAGCCTTAAAGCCCTACGGAAACTTACACCTTTGTTGATGTGGTTGAAACTGACAGTTTTCTCCATCACAAACCTGATTCTGTCAAACTTGGGTTTGTCCTGGCTTCTCAACGGGAAGGGGAAAATTCTGTGCAAGAGCTTGACAAACTCATGCTTATCTGAGAAAGAGTCTTACTAATTATGGATGTTTCTTTAAAAAAAAAAAGGAACTTCTTGTCAGGGAAAAAAAGGATATGCTCCTAGTAACTAGGGGACACAGGGCCTCTGTTTGAGGGGGAACACCAGGAAGAGCTCATAAAATACTGGCTCACAGTCTGGGATCCAGGTTTGCCCCTTCTCAATGGATGGCACAATGTCATTACCCCTTATAAAAGAGGTTTTTATTTTTCCAGCTCAGACTGGCTTGGTTTCTATTTTAAAATGAACAGAAAGCAGGAAGGCGAAAAGAGGTGTTCAGTGTTAAAGGGCTAGATAGGCTATGGAGCTGCCTCTCTCTGGAGGAATGATAAATAGGAACATTTGTAGTCCACTTAATTATTAAAAGTTCTTCTTCCCTAGAAATGGAAAAATAAAATTTCCATTTCATCTTTCTTGACCCTCCTCACTTTAGCCTCTTCTGGGATAATGACTTAGTGTAAAACAGCCCTTCTTCCAATGCCAGCTTGTCTCTCTGTCTTAAGTGATTGGCCTCTTAAAGATGCCTCATTTCAGTTCTGGGTTTTCAGTCTACATGGTCAAGAGTCCATGAACCTGAAGAAGGCTACTTCTCACCCCTACTTAGCTTCATGTTGGGCTTAAGGCTGACACATTTGTATGTGTCATGTAACTTGTTTAACACGTACTTTATTGGCCTTGACATATGCACTTCATTGCTGTTTAATGATGCTTTATCATTGTTGGAACAGGGCCTGGAGTTAACTGGCTTATTATCAAGTCTGTTTATTTCATTTGGCATCGTAGGTGACTACTCAGCCCCTGGCATCTTGGTGCCATTTTGGGACTAAGCCTGCATTGCCTGTCCTTTTCTTCAGATTCTGAAGGACTGCAATTACCACCAAATCTCCTCCATATATACATTGGACATTAGACCCCCGAATAATCTCAGTATTTCTTGAGATGTAGTTAACATTTTAATTCTTTTTCAACAAGTATTTATTAAGTCCTTGCACTCTGTGTGGCACTGGGAATAAAAGTGAAAAAGAAACAGTCCCTACCCTAAAGGAAATTAATCTAGTAGGGGAAGATAAAACGTATGGCAGTGTTTATAGTATAAGCTTAAACTGTGATGAGTGTATAGGGAGATAAGATCACAGAATCACGGATAGACATAGAACAGAATTTCAGAGTCAGAAAGGAGCTAGTACCACTGCTAGTTGAACTTTCTACTAGTACAACATCTGTAGTGGAGAAGAATCCCCTCTGCAACGTACAAAACCAGTGTCCATCCAGCCTTCGTTTGAAGACCTCCATTAATGGAGAACTCATATTTGCCCATTCTTCTATTGGATAACTCCAGCTGGAAAAGTGTTTCCTTTTTGTTTTTCCTTATATCAAGCTGGAATATTCCTCTTCACAACTTCCCCATGTCCACTGCTCCTAGTTCTGCCCCTTTGAGACCAATCAGAACAAATCTAACCCTCTAAGACATGGACAATCCTTCAGACACTTGAAGACACTTTTCATGGCTCCTCAAAGTCTTCTGCAGGCTGCGTATTCTCACTTCTTTCAATGCATCCTCATATGGCATGACCTTCTAGATTTGGAGGATGAGTCAAGGCTTCATGGAGAAAATGGTCCTATAGTAAGAAGATATGGAGGGAGTCAATATCAGGTATAGGGTAGCCCTGTACAAATACAGGGAGGCAAAACAGGGCAGAAGATGTTTGGGGAAGAGTTAGTAATGCACTTAACCTGAAACATACAGCAAGAGGACTAGGATGAAATGAGTCTGAAAAGGTGGTAGAAAGGTAGGGAGCAAGTAGGAAGTAGGGAGAGGGAGCTATGTATGTTAAATACCAGAATAAAATGTTTTCATATGATTTCTCAGACAGTGGGGAGCTACAGAAAATCTTGTAGCAAAGGAATGATGTGATCTGACAGGAGCACTAAGAATATCACTTGGCAGGATAGGTTAGAATGGAAAGGGGAGAAATCAGAGGCAAGGGGACTGTTTATGAGGCTAATTATTGTTTATTCCTTTTCAGTCACGTCTGACTCTTCCTGTTCCTATTTGGGTTTTGTTTTGTTTTGTTTTGTTTTGTTTTTGGCAAAGATACTGGAGTGGTTTGCCTTTTCTTTCTCCAGCTCGTTTTATAGATGAAGAAACTGAGGCAGACAGGGTGAAGTGACTTGCTAGTTAGTGTCTGAGGCCAGATGGTTCTTTCTGACTTTAGGCCCAGTGTTCTGTCTACTGCACCACCTAGGTGCCCTTAGGAGACTAATGCAATATTTTAAATAAGAAGTATTATGGCTCTAAATTAGACTAGTAATAGTGGGAGCAGAAAGAAAAGAAATGAAAGATATCATAGAGATAGAATGTACATGAGTTGGTAACTAATTGGATAAGATATTAGGGATAGAGGTAAGAGATGTTATCCTCTTTTTACAGATGAGGAAACTGAGGCTCTGAAAGGATAAGTGACTTGCCCACAGTCTCTCACAATAGGAAGAAATGAGTGAGTAGCACCTACATTTCTAGCCCGAGTGAAATAGGGAGACCAATTCTTTTAAGAAAGAGAAAGGAGAAAAAGGACGAGGAAGAGGATGAAGTGGAGGAAGAGAGACTTCTCTTATTTGTACTTCAGTCTCTTTATTGATAGAATGGCTAGTGTCTGACGTAGGATTTGAACTTGGATTTTCCTGACTCCAAGTCTAATGCCACTCTTCCTAGATGCTATATATGTAATTTTATTTTGAGGAATATGCAGAGAGTTGTGGGTCTGGGACATCATTATGCAAGCATAAGCATAGCAACCCACCTTCACTTAGCCATCTATCCATACTATAAGAACTGGGGCAAAAGAATTCCCTTTGCCAGGTATGGTGGCCACGCCTGTAGCTCCTGGAGGAGGCTGAGCCAGCAGATGGAGCTGAAGTCAGGCTGCAGGTAACCAGGTGTCCACATGATTGGTGTCACACACCAATAAGGTGCTGAATAAGTTAAGCACCAATATGGTAAGCCCCAGGAGCAAAGGGCCCCTAGGCTGCCTAAATAATGGCCTAAGTTGGAAACAGAGCAGGTCACAGCTCCAGTTGTTTTTGTTGTCCTTGGTTCTTGAAGAGGACCATGGCATCAGGGAGGTGGTACCATGACAAGCAAGAGAATTAAATTTAAGTGAGTCAGGGCTGTGCAAAGTCACCAGCCTCACTTTCTCCTGTGGGGCCATCTGAGTCCAGTGGTAAGATATAAATGACTTGCAGTGGAAGATCTTGGCCTTTTTAAGTTAAGATCTTTCCAAGGTTTGCCTGAGGCATCATACATTCATTGATTAAGGCTAGGTAAGAAATGAGGCAAAGAATGGCCTCTTACACCTAATAAAAAAAAATTGATCTGGGAAGGGAAGACCTTAAGGGTTTCAGGCCAAAATGGAAACAATTGTTATTTACACTCACTCTGAGTCATCAGGGCCCAAACAATGACCAAGTGAGGCTTGGACTGGGACCTATTGTTGGCCAATCTCTGAGAGCCAGAGAGATTTCAGTTTAAGGCATAGTCCTTAAGAAAGAAATCTAGACTGTAAACCCCAAAGCCTGTAAACCCCAAGATATCTTATGAGGTTTGAGCAATCAAAATTTACATTCCTTTGTGTAGAGCACCCACAGGTAAGGATATGATACCCTATATGGACAGAGAGAGAGGAAGGGAGGAAGAGAGGAAGGGAGGAAGGAAGGAGGGAAGGAAGGAAGGAAGGAAGGAAGGAACGAAGGAACGAAGGAACGAAGGAACGAAGGAACGAAGGAAGGAAGAAAGAAAAAGCTGCATTGCCCAACTGACACTGGTCAGTTGGGTCCCCAGCGGGGCAGCTACAACTACTCACAGATTGTTGTTTGTCCACAGCTC